CACTTAAGATAGTCTTAAATGCATACCGATCTAAAGAGAAAAGGGGAAGAGTGTAACAAAGATCTGTGAGCGTGTCTCTCATTGTATCGTTCCATTTCATAGAAATTTCTTCGCCGTTGCAAAAGTCATCGCGACGGCAAGGGACGGGGGAGGAGGTCTTATCACTCGTCATCAATCACAAACGCGGCCGCTTGCTCGCGTTTAATAGCCAACGGCAGATGACGCCAGCGGCATCGCGCCGATGAATCCGCGGTCAACCGGACAATCGCGCCGTGCCGAAAGAAAATTAACCGCGCGTCGGCAGCCGGAAGTGACGCGGTACGACGCGGCCGTTCGTGCGAGCTCCTCACACTTCTGTCGTTCGCGCGTCGGCCCGTTCCGTTTCTCCAGCCGACTCTCAGCTCTCAGCGTTTTGCCGACGCGAATGAAATTCGACGGTGACGATGATGATGGCGATGACGACGACGAGCCCGAATAATAGCCGCGAGACGGCGCGCCGGCTGCGAATAAACACTCGCGCGGAGGTAACGTTTGCCATATGCCGAGCTAGAAAACCGGCTGTGATTTTTGCCGGGCGAACGCTCGGCGCGTTTATACTTGTCGCGATGGCCGAGCAATCGTCGCGGTGGATTTGCGTCAGGTTCAAATAGAAAATGCAAGAAAACGATAAGATTCCGAATTGATGAGAGGGGAAAAGGGCGGGAATTGCAGATCGAGGCTTTTATGTTCATTGAATCGTAATAAATCGAGGGTACTCTACCTGTGTACAATACGATACGTACATATTTACACGAGATATGCTCATTTCCACCAACGTGGATTAACTTTAATCTCGGTTCAACTTACTCTTCATCTTTTTCTAATCTTTAGAACTAGAAAAAGGCGATGAGTAAGTTGAACCGAAATTAAAGTTAATCTACATTGGTGGAAATGGCCATTAGTTTTATTTGAAAACGTAAGGTATGGATCGATACATAGCATAACATCAATCCATGCAGTATACAAATTTGCAACAATGGATGCTTTTCAGTGAAAGACACAGGTGGCAGTGATCATTAAATCTTTGTTATTGGTAAATGTTAAACAAAGAGAAAATGATCTGATGACTGTGTCACACTGTCTTTCTTGCTGGAAAGCATCAAAATATTACTGCAGTGTTTGCAATGTTCATGTAATATGGAACATTGCAATGTTGGAGCGATATTGATAGAATGATCTATGTTGAAACATATTATCATTTTACACTCAAAAATTTAACACTACTATGTAACACCATGTGTTACATTTATATTGTTGAGTGCGAAATTATATCATTTATCTGCGTTCGATAAAAAAAGCAGCTTTGCTATTCCTTAATATGGATTGGTTTATACATTTAGAATTCCAGTACTAGGAACTAAGGGTAAGACTAATCATGGTAAAGAATTTTACAACAGTTGCAAAGCTGTATTTCCTGCTGAACGGCCATTGATATCATGTTACTATTAGTTCGTGTCGACTGAAGATTTTCGAAAAGAGGGAAATTAAGGATAGCTTTTTATTCTTACATAAATCAAAACCAATAACGGTGCACGCTTATATTAAAATATTAAACACATACCATAGTATAAATTAAAAAAAAAAAAAATTGCAGCGTTACACTGATGTTGCATCGTATTATACAACTTCGCGCGATCTTATCTATGAAAATAAATTGGTAACGATAATTCGCAAAGACGTCACCGTCGTTCCGAGACCGCGTCATGTCGTTGTTGCCGAAGCGATCAATTTTCTTGGATACAGTCGAAAGAACGTCGTCGGCGAAGCGCGAAACGTTTCTTGAACCACGAGGGGGGGTCGTCCCGTCTCTCGTTCCTTCCTCACCGCGTTCCGCTGATGCCGCCGCGAGAAGCGGTATAACGCGGCGCGTTGCCACGCGGTGAGACGCTACGGCACAGCGAGACCAGCAAAAACACAACCTTCGTGCTTAAAGCGAGACGAGAGGCATGCCACGGTGACGGACCCGAGGCGCACCGTTGCACCTGCATCTCCCTGCTGCCCTGGCACTCCTACCTTACTGATCCCAACTGCGGGATACCAAGAATGCCCGCAAGCGAAAAAGGAACGTTCCTCCTCTCTCCCCCTGCCCCCTTTTAAGGGAACCCTCTATACCGCAAAAATCGCAGTCTACGACGGTCATCTCGATGTAAAGGTGTTTTATTTCACGCCTCGAATTTCTCGCATGACATATTATTCGGAAACGGATAATAATAAGAAAATATTTTGATATGTTTCCTGAATATTTCTTATTATTTGGATAGAACTTTGATTTCTTTGAATATTTCCTATCATTTAGAACTTCGATTTATTTGAATTTGCGAGAAGGTGCGATATAAAATTTTACTTTAGAAGTAAAGTTGGACAGCATCTTATTGTTAGAAAAAAAGCATCGATTTTATTTTTGTATATATTTGCAATTTCATACGTAGCGACAGAAAATGTTGGTCATAGAAAAAAGAAAAAGTAGTAATTAACTATTCGATTAGCTATTCGAATAAAATAAAAATAAAAGTCTTAAGTTACAAAACTAAAAAATACGAAAATAAAAATAGCAAATACAAATTGTATCTTGTCATATGTAAAAAAATACAGAAAGTAATAATAAAAAAACTTACGATTCTAGCAATCATCAAAATAAAATTCCAAAATAAAATTATTTAACAAAAGACAATATTGATCTACGAAGACCCTATACGTAATTTGCACACGAAAAGAACGATTACTAAGATATCTAAAAATTTAACTAGATACAGATCTGAAATTAATTTTAGATTATCAAAATAATTATGTAGGACGCTCAAGCTAATTACTAAAACATCAAAATTTTTTGCAATATTACTTTTCATGGAAGAGAAGCAGGGAAGGACGCTTGTCCTCTGGCAAAAATAAACAAATTTAAAAAAATCATACTCATTACCTAATCATCTGTTACATACTATTCTTAAAAAGGTTCGTTGAAGATTCTCAGTCTCAAAGCTAGTTGTAATATGTATAAATATTTCAAAAAGTTTGTGTATAAATAAATCTTTGCCTTCTCCAATTAATATCCTGATTACGCCCATTTTACTCAACTTGAGTTTTCTAATAATTATTCTGACGTTTTAATAAAATTATTTTTAGAACTGCATCTAGCTAAATTTTTAAATGCTTTAACAAAATCGTTCTTTGTACATAAAGATAACAGAACATTTCGATCGGACATCAAGCATTTCTGTCGCATAAAGAACACGAGCAAGAGCTGCAACTGGAACTGGAGTCGCTATTTTGATTCGAGCTAGAGCTAGAGCTAGAACTGGAGCTGGTCGTATCGGACCGTGACGACGAACTGGAACTTGAGTCGCTCAGTAACGGTTGATGCAAGTTCTTCTCTATATCGCGCCACTCGGACTCCAATAGCCGCGTCGTTTTCGTGCGTCGCGACGGCGAGGGTAATATGCTCGCGTCGCTGTCGCTATCGCTCAACGTTGATATTTTCACTCCCATCGCCGCGCACACCTCATCCGGTTCAGGCAGATTGTAACTGATGGTCCGTACGCCGTATATGTCGCTTATAATCTTCTTAGGTCCTGGTTTTTTCCGACTGCTGGTGTCGTACGTTCTTTTTGGCTTGATCAATTGACACTCAATGTCGATCTTCTTTAAACGCGATACACCGTATATGTCGTTTATGATCTTCTTAGGTTCTGGTTTTTCCCTTCTGGTGATGTACGTTTTCTTTGGCTCGATCAATTGGCACTCAACGTCGATCTTCTTCAAACACGGTACACCATATATGACGGGTTCCGTTGGGAAGGAAGATATGTTCGAAGTGTTATCGCTCAACGAGTCCAATATGTGATTAGTCTTCTCCTCCAATATTTGATTGGTCTTCTGCTCGGTCTTCTGATCAGTATCCTCGAAAAATTCATTCTCGAGAAAATTCGTGACGTACAATGACGAATCATTTATATTGTTGTTTTCGTCATCAATGTCTTGTTTCTTTTCCTTATAACAGTCACTCCCGTCCATCATATTGGACGAGTCAGCATCGGGAATCTGAAGAGTGTAGTAATATCGTGCCATGATATCCATGACATCGATCAACGATTTGTTGCCATCGCGTGTAGGAATTTGTTTCTCTTTCTCGTCGTCTGATACCGACATCAATTCCAAATCGTTCGTCGATTCCACAGTATCGCCCGTGTAATTTGCCTACCAAAAAGATTTTCCTTTAGTCGCACACAGAAATTTAATACTGTAAGATAGTGATTATCTACTTACCTTCCGCTTGCAATCATATTTTTATTCCTTCCGTCATCTGCAATCTGGATCTTTTTTTTTGTTCAGCTTAAGTTTACTGTAACCGTAAAATATAAATGTCAAATGTAAAACAATAAATTCCTACTGATTTAAATAAATAAAATAAAATCGAAAAGTTAAATGAAGGTCTTAAAAGTCGGCACGATAAACGGTACGCAATTAATTGATGCAAAAATTCATTTAATAATTCAACTGAAAATACATTGCTTCACAAACCGTACATTTCGGCTCCAAATCGAGCTATTCTCACGCAGCACTACAAATAATATAATATATAATATACTATCATAATACAATAATATATATAAATAATTAATGTATAATTTGGAGCCGAACGTAAAGTTTCTTTATTTCTGAGGAAAAGTTTTCTTCTTTATTTCTGAGAAATTTTTCTGAGAGTAGAATTTTGTTTGTACCAAAAAAGATCCTGATTGCAGACGGAGAGTTAAAAGCACTGAAAAAAGTAATTAATTACTATCTTTCAGTTAAAAATTATCATTAAATTAACTAATATCTATTAAATTGAAATTTCTGTAAGCGAACCGTAAAGATATCAGACGCATCCGAGATTGATTTTTTAAGGATTGTGATTGAAGATTAGAATTCATTAATGAGATAATTTTAATATTATTGTGAATATTCATATGTTTAATTAAGGTGTTTATCTCACTCTTAAAGATTGAAAACTAAGCCACTCTTTTTTCAAGAAAACTGAAAAGACTCTTAATTTTTTCACTCTTTACAATAAGATTATATTCCAAAGAATTCAGCGAATATATTTTATTGATTGAATAAATTATGTTAATATTTTTTTTAACATTCATTATTTACTCGTTTATTGGCCGTTATTCTCTTTTTGTTACATAGCTTAATTCTCGTCTCTCTCTCTCTCTCTCTCTCTCTCTCTCTCTCTCCCTCTAAAATATCTAGTCGAAGAAAGATATCGATACGATTTGTTTTTCTAATTGTAAATACACATCAGATAGGGGGAGGGGCTCAAGATCAAATAATGTATATACAGAGTTATAGACTATTATTATTGTCTTCAAAACCGCGAGAAGTGTAAGAAATTGTAAAACAAAAAATGTAAAAATTGTATAAGAACACAATTTTATATTCTCCTTTCCAGATTCGAATCAACTCACCCTTCTAACAGAGACGAATGGGATGTCCATGAAATGCGAAACAGGTCTGTACCACGAGTTGCAGCCAGTCCGCGTGTTGTGGTAGTACACGCGGTTGGGATAGCTTTTAGATTGGCATTGAATCCAGCCATAGTTTTCCTCGAACTTGCCGAATTCGTATACACGAGGCGACTGTGAATTCTGCGTACTACTGTTGTTGTTATCGTAGAAGCCAACGCCTCTATCATAATTGTCCTTGTCGCTGACGAAATTGGAAATATACATGGCCGAATACATTTTGATTGGCGACACTGTGCGATGAGACGTCGTGACTGTCGCGTGTTGGAGCAAACGCCGGTAAGAATGGAGAAAAAACAAAACACGACCGAACGAACGCATGCGTTAACCTACTCATACATCGATAATCGGCACATTCGACACATCTAAGCAGGGTAAGTTACTAGTATTTTTTTTTTAACTAAATTAAGTTAAAGTTAACGGCTTATAAAATAAGTAAAATTAAGTTGACAGTTAAAGGAATAAAGAATTAACTTAATAAAAGTTAAAATTAAATTAATTTAAGTTAATTTTGAAAAAAATTATTTTTGAGATCAGAATGTTTTAATTTTTCTTAAAATAAGATTACTTTAAATAATCCTTACAAATATAGATTATTAGTTTAATTTTATATCCACATATAAGTTACTTATGTATAATAAGAGTCACATTATAAGGTATTTTTGTCAAAATCTTGCGAGAGAGGAAAGTATATGTTTGCATTATTTCTCTTTCTTTAATTTCTGAAATGACTGTGCATGTTTACGTCTGCATTGATTAGATATTTGATACAAAAAATATACATAAAAATTTAGAAAAAAGGTGCAACTCCGTTCTACAATTTATGTTGCTGAAATATAACGTTTATGATACCTAAAATTAGTGTGATTCAAATATAAGTGGGAATTGACAAAATCTAACGAGTCAATAAAAACTGGCTACCGTATAGTGTGACTCTTATTATAGAATCTTTCATCATAAAATCATTGATCTGAAACCAATAATCTGTCTTTAAGTAGAATGGATTTTGACAAATTTCGACCAATCTTGACACGCTTTAACATTTAATACAATTCGACATAGAATTTCTTGTCGAGCAATGTCACGTGAGAAATGTCGCATTTCCTATGATGAAAACTATCCAATCGAGTGAGAGCTCACTTTTATCATTTATAAGTTTTGAGATACACAATCGACCCTCAGATTATTATTCGAGTGGTCCCAAGAGTGCGTTCCGTTTCATACATTTAAATAAAGCGCGAGATGGTGATTTATGACTATACCTAATGTAATTCAAATGCTTCCTTTATTCAAAATCTCGAAGTTCTAACATTGTGGAAACAAAGATTTAAGAATATGTCACAATTCAAAGCATTATCAAAATAATAAAATTTCATAAGTTCCATTATTTCATCTGAGTAAAAGTTTCGTTTGTATAAAAATTGAGCACAAAATTTTCTTATTGATTTAAAAGTTATTTAATGTTTTTGTTTAACTTTATTTTTAAGAATATATCTGTAAGATCATGTTTTAGTACTTATTTGTCAATTTGATGAGGAAGTAGCATTATATAAAATAAAATAAAAGTTTTATATATAACTAATAAAGCGTACTCTACTAAATATTCGTAAAAATTCATTTTAATCAACTTACTACATTTAAAAGTTATGTATCTAAAATTGACAACAAAACATCATTTCTCTTCATAAAGCTACTAAAAGCTAAATATAATTAATTTTATATTTTATTTGGTTTAAGGTATATTCACGAGAACACTTTTTGATTGATACTTTCTTCTTTAGCCAATATTTTAAGCTGATACAAAGAATCCTTAATAGCTACGTGTGCTGATTATTAGATTTATCTCGCTGTCTACTTCGCGTTTTTAAAAATACTACAAAGCTTTTTACAAGTTCACAAATAGGTCGATTCTCGGTCAGCAGGATCGACTGACCGAGAACCGACGGCTAAGTTTTTTTTATCCATCTTTTTATTCCGGAAGAAACGTCGGGAGAATACGTAATGCAATATGATCGGCGTGCATCCCGATGCACGGCTTATTATTCGCGACCGCGCGTGTATAGTTTTTATTATTCGTGACGTATCTCAGAGCGCTCCCGCGTGTTCTGGTTCCCATCTTGTTCTACATCCTCCTTCCTTTTTTTTTTCACAATAGCCGCTTTTCCCTAAAATTCTTAATCCTGGTTTAGAATATGCAATGAAGACGCACCAGCTGTCACGTGGTTATTCGATACGCGTTTCGCTGTCCATCTCTCTCTTTTATCTATAGATTTTTAGGCAGTCTAATTATATCTATTCTTATGGCCGGGTATGCAGGGATGCAGCTCCTTCTAAATTTTTGGCAAGGAGAAACAAATTATATATGAATTATTTCTACGACGAAAAGTTACAACACTCACCGCTCAATTCGTGGTTCACGCGTTATTTGTAAAAAAATTCGTTGAAGATCCTCGAAGGCAGATTTTAATATAAATATTTTAATAAGTTTCGCGTGAAGATAAATATTTGCTTTGTCTTTGACTTTAACTCTGATTCATGTAACGACAATGAAATTGAAAAAATCGAATAATTCTCGGTGTTTGCCGATGCGAAAAGCATTTGTCGCACACTTATCTACCGCATTTGATAGAAAATCCTTGACAATTTTGCATAAGACGTCGCTAAAACTATTGGAAGTAGAGTTTTATGATTTACTGTTTTACTTTTCTTATTAACCGACGTCGGAGGCCTTGTCGGAAGATAAAAAGAATACCGAAAGAAGTTTTCTTTTCAATGACTTTTCCTTTCGTGACTGCTCTCACAAAAAATTTTTTTGCGCGCATCTCTCGTAAATTTAAAATTTTTAAAATTTCTTTCTGTTAAATAGATTTATGTGTAGCATAGGGTACAATTTTTGGTTTATGTGACACACAGATCATTTACAGATACAGAACTTTTTAGTTTTATTTACTCTTTCCTCGGAAACTCGGAAAAAATTGGACCGTAGCTAATGCCGAAAGGCTCTTTTTAGCCTTTCATTTCGTGGCCCTTTCTTCCGGTTGCAATTGCGGTAAACGCGGTGAAGAACGGATTCGCATAAAATGTGAGGAAGCTCATCGAATCGCCGTCGAGGAACAGCACAAAAAACTAGAACGGACAGAATAGACGGTAAAATCTAACGTGAAAGATCCTGTAACTCGAGAATTTATCGGACCTTTGATCGTCGAGGCGGGGAAGTTTTCTTTTTACTCGTGGATTCGCTTTAGATCGTGCGCAATATGAAGTTTCCTCATTCTTCTCTGCTCTTTTAACGAACCGGTGCGGTGGTCATATTGGTGTACCTCCAGTTTTATGACCTCGCCAAGTTTCGAGGACAGTACCTTGATGTCTAAAAATAGACGTAACAAATGACCAGGTAAGATCGACCGATTACTTCGCTCCGTTATGATATGCGATGCGGGCGTCACCGAGATATGTAGGTACGACAAAGAAACTTGAAAAGGGAGGGTAATCTTGTAACAAGATGGATGAAGAACACGAGAGAAAGTTTCGTTGTAGAACAGATCATCATCGTCAAAATATCTTACGATAAAAGTATGTTCTTATGTACAAATTACATCTCGCTGTACAATTGAAACAAAAAATATATTTAATCATTAAATTGACGCGAAATGTTGATTATCTCTCGTATGTAAAATCGCATTATAAAATCTAAACAATATCATTGCAAAAATAGTTACAACCGAAACAAAAAAAATGTTTAATCATTAAAGGATAGTACAAGATGTTGATCACGTCTCATTCAAATTATCATAAAATGTAGACAGTATTATTGGAAAATTTATATTTATACTATACTCCAACAGAGCATAAAACTTGCAGCAACATTGTTGCAATATTGCTACAAGTTCTATGCTGTTGTATATCGAAGATCAATATATTATTAAAAAAAATTAAAATACTCCTTACATATAGCCTTTAACATTTTATATAATCAGATAGTCGGGTATATTCGCTTCCTATGTTAGTAGATACTAATATCGCGAAGATATGCGTTAGATTTCAAGCAATAAATGTGCACACAAGTTCGTGCTCTTCAAGTTATCTTCAATGAAAACAACGCGCAATAGACTACATTTTCGTATTTACGAGCTAAACGCGGCTTATTCTATTCTCCGCGCGTGATAAGGAACAAGTAGGAAGTACCGGATACGATAAGAGATACCATCGCCGTAATCTTCGACAACAAATGCGCACAAAAGTCCTCTTCCCTCCTCCCCCCCCTTCCCTCTCGTTCCCTCACGAGAGAAGGAAGGTTACCACTTCTCCGCGATCGTTCACGCCTGAGTTGTCCCTTCATCGCGCTATCGCCTCGTCTACGTTCGTGGAATCCGTCGTGAGGAAATGTAAAAGGAAATGTAAAAGACCGATCGCGAAGAATTTGTAGTTTAAAAGGATCTGCGCACACGCGCGGTCGAGCGAACACGGCGACATAGCGACGACGATGAAGACAGAAGGGAGGAAGAGGAGGAAAAACGAAGCGCGAAGAAATGCAAGAGGAAGGAGAAAGATGACGATAACTATCGAAGTGAGGTTCGCGAGCCGGTGGCGAACGATGGTGGTGGTGATGGTGGTGGTTTGGACCGTTAGTTGGCCCCGGCGGGAGCGTTGTCCGGGCACACTGCGCGTTACTATTCCCCGTCTTCACTCCTCTTCGCCGTTTTCTCCTCCTTCTTCTCCACCGCCGTATATCTCTTCTCTTTACACAACGTGCTCTCCCTTTCCCCGTCTATTCTCTCTTTCTCTCTTCCTTCCATACCTCTCGGTCAACCTCTCGTCCGCGTTCCCGCGTTCATTCTACTGCGGACTTCCCCGTGCCGGACGACCCTTCCGCGCCGCCCGGTTAACCAATATGGCGGTGGGCCGGTCTCTGCCTTGAGCCTTCCTTCGCCGCGCCGACGAAGAAACGCATCGCGAGGAATTCGCGTTTTGCGCACTTGAATCCGAGCTAGTCACCGTATTCTTCAATGCTCGATTTTATCTGGGAAATTTCGCTCCTCTGCGAAAGACGTCCAGACTCTCCGTCTGCCTTCCGTTGATTTGGATCGATTCGAGCATGATGTAAGAAGATCAGGTGAACCGATTTTCAGGATGTCGTCGCAGTAATTCAAAGTGATGGTATTTGTAACCAACCGAGAAATTGGTCTTAAATTTTATAAAATAATATACAACTGCTATTAAAAATTAAT